CTAAAAATCATTGTCTTTTCTTTAACAAGAATAATCACCATTATTAAATTATTAATAATTTAAGTAATTTAACGATAATTTTATTTTATTAAAAATAAAAAATTTTAAATTTGGTTCACATATTATACAAGTACAATGAATTAAAAAATAAAAAACAAATGCTACAAACAAGATTTAAAAAATATATATAAGTAATTAAGTTTTCCAGAAGGTGGGTTTTTTTTTTTCTTTTTTTGTTAAATTTCCTAGAAGTTTCTGTGACATGTCGTATTTTCCAGCAAGGGCGGTGGGGACATGTGCACGGAGGGATATGGGCATGGCCGTGTATGTTGGGTATGGCCGTGTTCTTTGGCGGTTAGTTTGAAATGTTTTTCACAGTTGGAGAGGGGGGTGACCAAACATTACTAAACTGTTCGGATTATTATTTACGAAAAACTGTGTTACAGTTAGTTCTGATATTGAGTCTCCCCTTCCTCTCTTTTTGTTAAAGATCTTGATGTTGCAGTCAATTATAGGATGAATTGTAACATAAGATTTTAATTTTTTTAAATAATTGATAATTGATAATTAATATTTAATATATGATAATAAATAATTCTTAATATTTATAGTTTATAATATGTAATTTATTTGATTAAAACTAACAATTGATTAGTTGTTTTTTAAAAATCAAAAGAAATATCCCTTATATTAGTAGGGTCACACAAATTTTAAAATTTTTTTAAAAATAATTTAATTATGATATTTAAAAATATTAGTATAAAATTAATTTTAATTTGTTAAGTAATAAATACTAATTGTTTTGTCATCTATTAACTAATAGTTATACTTATTAACTATTTTTAATTGTATGTTTAATTTAAGGGAAATGGAGGAGAGAAAATTTTTTTAACAATCAAATTGTAATATTTAAAAGTATTATAATTTAATTAGTTAAAAACCTTATTCTTTTCTTTCTCTCAGTTCCTCTTAACCCAAACATACTTTACAAGTTAAATCAAATAATAGTTTTAAACTTAGGATATAGTTATAACTACTCACCATTTTATTAAGATCACCCAATTTTATTTAATTTAACTATTAAAAATAAGTAATAATTAATAGAATAATTATATTTTAAAATATTTATGATCTTAACAAAAATTAATGGTTATAACCATACCCATAGTCTGACCCTTAGAAGCATTTAGTTCTTCTCAAGGGTCTGTCTGATTAGGGATTTTAATCTAAAAAAGTTGTCTAATAAACATGTTGGGCAAATAAGAATTTAATATTTCACCTTAAAAAACTTGTCAAGTACATCCAATGAGACAAAGTTTGAAGGAAAATTTTTCCTCCTGTAGAACTTGTGGTTGTAGGCAGAATAACGCAAAAATGTCAACTTTTTTTGTTTGTTTATTTATTTTAGCAATTACTATTAAGGAGTTTTTAATTTAATTTATGCATCTCAAAATTAATTTTTTTTAATTTAATTAAAAATAAATTATTCACATTAAAACTAAAAAATTTATGAGGAATATACTTTTTATTAACTTCTTAAAAACTCAAATCTTGATAAAAAAATGTAAAAATAAAAAAATCTCTAATTAACTATAAGTCAACTCCTTAGATATTTATTTATTGTAATATTGAGAACAGTAAATTAACATCAAAATATTTTTAGGTTGGTTTTGGTGTAGGTAGGTTTTCCCGACTTTTAGACAGTGATTTAATGTTTAGGCACCTCACTCTTGTGCACGGTACGTAGGGAAAACCCTAACCGTGTAGCAAGTTTCTCTTTTCGGTTTTCTTTTCTCTTGTAAAGCCTCTCTTCTTTTCTTTTTCTATTGATTTTTCTCCTCATGTCTAATTTGCAATTGCAATTCCTTATCCCTTTTTCCTTAACTAATTTAATCCAGAAAAAAGAGAGAGAGAGAGAGAGAGAAAAAAAAAGAAGCCTTGCGGCTGGTGCGTTGTGGTTTCCTTTTGCTTAGTTTGGGAACGAAGAAACACTTTTTACAAATGTGATTGCAACACCAATTTTTTTATTCAATTGTTTCGATTAACTTTCAATTGAATGAAACTGTTTTATGCAATCATGTATCAAGATCATGATTTTGTAGATACCTTCGCTTGTATGAGTTGCGTAGACCTATAGGAGTGCTCTATTAATTTGTTCCTTTAGATTTTTTAAGGATTCTGATTCAAGATTCCATTAAAACGTTTCTTCTCTAAGAATATCATATTATTCATATAAAAAGAGAAAAAATAAGATACCAATTTTGGGGAATTGGCCTCCTGGTTAGTGAAATACTTGCAGGGTACTATACTATTGTTCTACAAGCTAACAAGCTACCAAGCTACATGCTCTCCCTGAAGCTAGTATAACAAGTGAGATTAATTAGTGCCTGAAAAAGCTCAAAAAGTAATCTTTGTACATTATGTAGCCTTGTTGTTGCTTGTATAGTCACATATTAGTATCTTATACTTTGGGGTTTGACTAAAATAAAGTATTTAATTATTAATTTTTAGACACATGAAGTAAATTAGTCTAGAAAGTTATTATAACTTGTGCTATAATTTATACTTCTTTAATATTATGCACTGCTTTTATGGTAAACCATAAATACATTGTACTTTTTTTTATTATTAATATATCCTTGATTTTATCCAAAACAAAAATGTATTTAGGCACCTAAATACTTGTTCGGTTATTGCCACAAATGATTCTGCTATTGCCACAATTGTTTGCCCCCACTTTCCTCGCAGGGTCAAAAACCTTATGCTTGAACTAGAATCCATGTTCACAGTTGGGATCCTGACCCCACTGCCACTCTTCTGCGTCTTTACCACCTCCTTTGCCTTCGTTGGCAGCAATGTTTTCTCACTTTTCCCAATCTTCACGTTATCCTTCAAAATCACGCACAACGATAGCTTCCATTGAATAGCCGTTGTTGAAGTTGGCCCCTGAATTTGACGCTCTCACCCTTTCCATTTCTCCTCTCGTGATGACCTTAACAACCCTTTTTGCATATCAATACCGCGGCCTCCGTTTCCGAATTCCATTTTTCTTTTTTCATCCAACACTATGTTTTCCAAGAAAAAACTTACATATTTTTATGAATTCAAGTTTCAGATTTAATCTAGCAAGGGAAAATAGAAGCAACAGAGGCAAATGTTTGAGATGAGGAATGATGAAATGTAGAAGGATTTACCTTTTTAAGAAAATAGATTAGGATAAGCTATTTTTTGACATGTGAAGAAAAGGGATAAAATGCTGCAAAGAATTAGATTAACTAGTAAATAAGTGTTGTCTTAATGTACCAAAAAAAAAAAGTGTTGTCTTATAAAAATAGATTTAAAGTTTAAAGTAAGTTTTAAAGCCAATACTTAAAGAAATTTTTTTTTAAAATGTACTAAATTAATGTGGAGTGTTTCTAAAATTATCTAAAAAAATTTTTTTGTCAAGGTGTTCTAAAATTGACCTTAAAAACCCTTGACAGTAAATAAAAAATAAAAGAGCAACGTGGTTATAGTCAACTAGGCAAAGAAAAAAAAATTGTTTTCATGGTAATAAAATGATAGCTTAATATAATAATAAATAGAGGATTAAATTGATATTTTCATTCTAATTTTGCCCTATTATTACAAAAAAGAGCTAATAAACTAATTAACTAAATATAAAAGTAAATTTGCATATTGTAGAGTCAACATATATATTATTAGTTGATTAAAATTATAAAGAAAAAAAAATAAGGAAAAAGAAAAGCAAAATGTTTTTCTTTGATCATTTGATGGGCATGCAAAATGTTGGGCTGGCAAGCACATTTGAATACCCACTTTTACCTTTATTTTCCACTACTTCATGCTTTTCTCAACTTTTAGGTGCCGTTGTTCCAGGGTTTTTTTTCCCTTTTTATTTTTATTTTTTGAACAGCAAAATTGAATGATGCCTTTGGTCCACTTGGCTGAGTAAAGTGCTTTGAAGAGTAAAGTTTACAATGGAAAGTTTATTTTCATGTTTGGACGGTCTTCAATTTTTTTAATATTTTTGAAAAGGTTTTTCTAGTTATGTTTGAAAGAATGGCAAATAAGTAATTCTCATAATTGCAATCAACTAATTTTTCTAGATAAAGTACATAACTAATAAACAAATTGAATGAACATTAAAAAAAAAAAAAAAACTAATTGTATATGTCTACACCTAAAATAAAAATTAATACGAGAATGCCACGTGTCAAATTGGGTCCAGCCATTGTACAGATTTTTGCCATGTCAGCAAGCTTGGAGCTGATTTGAAGCAGGCCTGCTGTAAAATTTGCAACCTAGACAAAGGTGAATGGTGGCTAGTGCCACATGGTAAGGGATAAACCATTTAATTAATTGAGTTTTATTCAAATTAAAAAGTTAGAATGTTTTTAGGAGAAAGTTACGAAGGGTTTTATTAGAGTTAGATTGTGAGTTAAACATCTAGTCACTAGACCTGAGAAAACTGCCATCCGACGTGGAGCAGCCACTACCCAATCATTGTGAAAGGAGGACCGAAATTTATGGAGGAACCACCCAAGCATCAAAGAAAAGGAAAACAAAGGAGAAAAATAAGTTTCTCGAGGCTTGTCCTTCTCAAATATTGCCCAGCATGCTGCTTTTAAAATTTTTAGATTTCATGAAGCAGCTTACTACACATATTTCTAGATTAGAGTTCAAAGTCGTGTTCCTATTCGGAGCTTTAATTTGAATCTTCCGTTTACTTTCAAAGATTGCCTCTTGTTATTAATATTTGAGACTTCGGAAGCAAACCAACCTTGTTCTTCAGGTCTTCCCCTTTAATTTGGTTTGTAATTTTCAATGGATTTTGCTCCTTTAAGTATTTATTTGATTGGCTTGAATGTTTTCTTCGTCCATACCTTTGTTCATGTTGAAATACATCATCTTTCAAAAATTTTCTTTTGTTTTTGAAGCATGAATTAGTTTGCAATTTTCTAGATCTTAGATTAGCTTGTAATTGGATTGTGTTCGAGTTTAATTTAGCATTACATCTTCAAGTAGTTTAGTTGATTTTAGGTTAATCTAAAAGTGCTCTTAATTTCTAGAATTAAGTTGAGGTTGAGTTTTTGCAATTCAGTATGATCTACATAGTCGTAGCAATGGTTTGTCAATCCACCTAGTTTCCAGTTTGCGAATTTCCTTTAAGTGCTCGTTGTTTCTATGTTGTTTTTTGTTAGCTTACTTAGAATATTGTGTTTAGTTTATGATTTGTAGCCTTTTTATGCATCTTTGTAGTTTTAAAGTTCTTAGAGTTGTCCAAGACAAGTAGTAACTCATCTTGCAAAACACTACCCTATGTTTTGCAACATTGTAGAATAATTCATAGAGATACGTCCTTTCTAGTCATCTTACTTGGAAGTTGACCGTTGGAAAAGAGTAAATCATCAGAAAAACCCTATTTTCTTGTTTTTTAAAAAAGTGAGTGGTACACCCTAAATTCAAACTCACGTAATAGTGGGTTAGCCAAGGATTTTTGAGAAAACAATACAATTACAAGCCATATCTATACTCTTTTTTTTTTTTTTTATAAAAAATGATATAATTAAAATATCACATGAAATTATAAGTATACAATCATTATTTGTTATTATATGAATGATTTTTTTTTTATTTAGAACTTCATTTGTAATATTATATCATTGCAAATTTTTGGGGAACCCTATTTTACAGTGTGGACTACATCAAACTGTAAAATAAAAATTATTAGATAAGGATTAAACCCCTAATATAGGGGTCCAACCCTTATCTAATAGTTATTATTATACAATTTAATATAATCTGAACTGTATAACAAATTTTCTATTTTTTATAAGATTAAAGTGTTTTCTAGTAAGTTACACATATTTCAAAACTAATTTTTTTAAAATGATTTTAAGAGCACTACTCTAGTTATTTTTGTGAGTTGGTACATTTTAAAGAAATTAATCTTTCTTAATTGCTAACTCTAAACTTTTTTGTTGGTGGATTTGGACAAACAAAAGTTTTTTTTCAAGTCAATTTTTACTCGTCTTAAAAATTTTTTTTCAAACAATTTTAGAAGAGAAAGTTTGGCTTGAGGAGAGGAAAGGGGAATCATTTAATTTATTTTTTTATTTTTCAGTCTTTTAATTATTTTATCTTATCTAAATAAGAAGAGGGTCACATCTTTCTATTTTTCTCTCATTTTCTTTGTTTCCTTTAAATTAAATACACTTAAAGACTACTCTATAAAACTTAATACATTTAAAAGAATCAATTAATTTATTTATATATTAATCGAAATTTAAACCCTAAATCTCACCTAAAAGCTAACACATACCTGTAAATCTATTATTGGGATTCTAAATTTCAATCTTTAATCATAACCTTTCACCCTATACCCTAATTTACCCTTACCTTTCAAAAATATTGAAAAAAAAAATTGAACCTGTTCTAGAACAGGACCAAGCAGTCACGGGGTCACTAATGCTTGTTGGATCTAATTGTGTGGAGCTAATAGACTTAAACAATTCAACAATAAATTTTTTAATAAAATTAAAAAAAATTTAAACTGAAGTAAAATAATTTATATGCGAGAAAATTAAGTGACTTAATAATAATTTTTTTAATAAAAATAAGAGATTAAATTTGAATCACATTAAGGGCTATTTGCTATAATAATTTAAAACTAATAGTAAGTAATTTCATTTAATTTAATAAATAAAA